ACAGAAATACCTAATCACATATTCCTTTTAAACAGTTTTCTCCCTCCTCTGTTTCAGTGCAGTATACATTATTGAACCCATCATTCTCAGTCTCTCCCCAACCCCAAGGTCAGTCCTGTTTTACAACAGTGGCACTGTGCAATATTTGTCCTTTTGTGACTGGGATACTTCATTCAGCGTAATGTTCTCCAGAGTCAACCATTTTGAATAATATTGCATGAGTTCCTTGTTTTTCAATGCAGCATAGGATTCCATTGTGTGAATAGACCACAGCTTCTCTATCCATTAGTTTGTTGATGGTAATTTATTTTCCATTCAACCATTTATGTGCCTTTTGTTTAATGACATTGCACAATATACAATATAACTGTAATTGTTCCCATGTGATTTACAGCCTCCTGAATCTAAAAGGAGTGTCAGCTGTGAGCTAATTCTAGCTCAACAACAATGAGAGTTAAAAAAAAAATATTTATCCCAAGCGCATATGGAATGGCTAGCATAATAATTTTGTTTTATATTGTGTCTTTGCTTTGGATGCTAGTCCTATTATATATGCTATTTCCTTTGCTTAGAAATTTCCTTTTCTTTTTTATCTGGACAGAAATATATTATCAAAGTCAAATTCAGATGAAACACCACCAAGAAACATCTTAAAATACCTCCCATAATCTCCACCACATAGTTTTAATTAGTTTTCACCTGGGCTAATTCTCTATCATGTACATCTTCTTTTCTTGCTTATCTCACACCATGCTGTGATTTATTCATTGGATTTTGTTTTTTCCTGGCTGCAGGCATCTTGAAGAAAGGACTTGTTTCCTATTACCATGATTCATGCCTGAAGTCTCAAAGTCTATGATGTTGCCAGGAACCTGACAGTAACAGGTAAGTACACATATTTCATATCGATGCCTTACCTGTTCCTCAGGGCGGACAACCACTGTATTAAAATCTGGCCACTTGTCCACCAGGACCTTTAGATTGAATGGATTCCCGTGGTTGATATGGAAGACAGTCCCATAGACCTACAACATCCCAAGAAAGAAATAGGATGAATGTATGTTAGACTGGGTTGGCAAATGCCTTGTGTTTGGTCAAAAAGTGATTATCTCTAAAACTATGAAAGTGTGTGGCAGAAAGGGCCATCTATCTTATTTTCCTTATGCAAAATAGAAAGATCATGTTTCCTCGTCAAATTATAATAATTACAAGTACATTGCAATATTCATAAAAAGGAAAATCTTTCAAAAGCATGGCTTTTCACAGATATTGGTATATTTTTAGGACTTTATTCATAGACAAATTAAAAAATAAAATTATATGGTACATTCTATTTTTCAATCTGATTTTTCACTCACAAATATAATGGTGACGTACACAAATATTTTCAACTATTTTCTAAAGGTTGCAGGGAATCTCGGTTCATTTATTCGTTTGTCTATTGATTGTATTTTTT